AAAAAGCGTTTTATTTTTTAATAATCCTATGTAAACAAAAAAATCCAATTAAAACAACAATCACTGATTTTTATCCACTCTGCACTAAGATCACTTGCCTCCCTCCACACTGAACCTAAGGGAATTTTGTGTGGCAGGGGAGGATAGAGAGCCATAATGTATGTTTTATGCTAGTAAGTTCATTGAAACAATCAATAACTAGTATGTGACTATATTACAATCTCACCTATGAATGTGAAAACACAATTATGTGTTTATACTTCACCATCTCCTGGAACTTTTCATGGAACCCCAGGGATCCAGGGAACCCCGGTTGAGAAAGGCTGGTATAGACAAAGCATTCATTGTATGTACATTATTCCACAGTAATATGGGCAGAAGTATGGGACTGTGTTGCATTAGAGAAGCATAAAACTTTATTCTAAATGTAGAATCACACAGGTTTTTATTCTTAGTAAGTCTTCTGTATCCACATACAACTCCCCATCTTTTCCTTAGACTCTGCTGCTGCTTCCCTCCCGCACTAATTTCCCTATTCCGAATCAAAGTTCCCCACTACCTATCCTATTACCTTGCCCAGTCGCTCAACCATAATTCCAATGTTCCATAACAGAGGGATAACTCTGTTATCCCTCTCAGAAAGTTTCCTCCCCAGGGCCCATTTCCCACATCATTAAAACCTCTATTTCTTTCAGGACCCACCTTCCTGAAATTCTGTTCTCCTACGCCCTGATCACATACCCTAATATCCCCGCCTTTTTTTTTCCTTTTAGATTTTCAGTATTCTTGTAAGAGCACCCCCTCTCTTAAATGGCCATTTTTTGCAGTTAAAGATTCCTCCACATTTGGAACTTCTCAATTGAGAACTTTCACGGTGTATACTGTCTGCCATTCTGAGAGCATTGTACTAATCTATGGTACAGAAAAACTTAGATAAATCAATAATAAATAAATCTGTACTTCCAATTCAATCCCCATTACTACCTTCAGAACATATGCTTTCCCCACCCTGGTACCTTGGCAAAAAATAGCCTTCCCAACTTTTCCTTTTGGAATTCTTCCCAACTCCACATTATTCTCCCATCACTCCCTAAACCTTTCCACCATGTCTGTATTTTTTTCATTTTCTCCCTTCTGCATTCAATTTCGCTCCTTTCACCTTCCCCCCTTGTGAGCCTCCCCAGCTGTGGTATTTTCCCAAAATCAAAATTATGTTTAATTGAAATCAGTGATTTAATGCACAGTTCAAGCACAAATCTGAAGGCATTGACAGAGTGGAAATAAATGCATCCAAAGGGTGGTGTACATTTGTGGAAGGCAAGATTAACACAGTAATCTCAGAGTCTGAAGTACTCTGTTTAAAAGCTTGTATTAAAAAGATTAAAAATGAAAAAAACCCTTTTTATTATGCAACATACATAAACTGTAACACATTTCCAAACTAAGAGTCATCATTAGCAAACCTTTGGAAACAGTTTACATGTCCATTAAATGGGAAGGAGTGAACTCGCTGCATGTGGATTTTATTTTTTGACAGCTATGCTGTCAAACTGAAATAAAAAACTTAAGAAACTGAAAATAAAAAAGCAGATGCGCTTAACATGTTGTGTTAAAAGTTTTGCAATCTTAACATCTGTAAGTGAAAGAAAAGGTTTTTGTGAGTTGCAAAACTCCTCTTTGATCTGTTGTTTCCTCTGGAATATTTTGTTCTAGGAACAAAGCACTGCCTCTTTTTGAAGCTTAGTTTGGCACTAAACTGTGGAAGCAATTCTCCAGTCATGAGTAAGGCTAGCAGTGGCCTTCTGAAAGCTGAGACCTAATCATAACATTATTCTTAATTTGATTACATCTATACTAATTCTTTCACTAAGATGGGATTCTAAGCACGTTTAGACAGAAAGCATCCTACATTTTCCAGCATTCTCCAGCTAGCATGGCAGTTGTAGGTTTTTTCCTGTTTAAATATGCAAAGGATTGTACTCTAAAAGCCCTTGAAATACATCAGCAAAAGCTCAGATACCAAATGTGCAAAGGAAAGTGAAACTTTACAAAATCAATCTCATAATTTAATATACATGTATCACATATAAAGTTAATAAAACATAAGCTCATAATCCTCTACCATGTTCCCTTTATCTGATGTTTTTTAATTTAAAAAAAATTCCTCAAACTTTTAGCATTTACTCATAAGGAAGGTGCTCGCTTTTGTTTCAAATTTGAAATTGGTGTTTTAGTTTTAGTGATTCTTTTCCTTATGTTATTTTCCAGTACCTGTCTACTGATCAGAGTCTGTGGAAAAGTTGATTTAATTTTATATGTGTATGTACATGCAGAAGAGCAGGCTTGGTTTCGCTTCCTGTTGTTCAAATTGGATACGGGATAGGTAGGAAATTCTTCTGAAATTTCAATTCGTTGGTAATGAATGAAGTGATATTGCTACTTCAAATTGGAGGATGACAGCAAACAAAGGGTTAAAGGAAGAGGACTGGAAAGAGCTGAGGTCAAGCATGTTGTTTCTTCAATAATAATAAAATGTTATTAAACTATTATTTTATTAGTGTTTTTACTTTGCTTTTATATCCCATCTTGTTTCCTCTTATGGGGAGCCCAGAGCAAGTTACATAATTCTCCTCCACTCCATTTTTATCTTCACAGCAATGACTCCATGCTGTAGGTTAGGCCAAAAGTACATGATCAAAGATCAGACTTTTCTTGGACTAGTCCTAGATTTCTACTTCTTCCACTGAGTCCATTTTTTGTAGATGGTTGCTCTCACTAGCTCAACAGATTTCATATCAGGTGCAGGAAATAGTTGCAAAATTTCAACAGAGGTAATTCTAGACTAACTTCCAATTGTTCCATGTGGGGAATCTCAGTTCAGAGAGCTATAGTGGTGTAGAATAGTGGTTACAGGGTCAGACCGGGACTTGAAAGATCTGGATTCTAGTCCCCATTTGGCCATGAAGTTCCGTGTGTGAATTTGGACCAGTCACTTGACCCTCAGCCTAACTTATCTCGCAACTGTCTTGTGAAGATCAGTGGAAGGGTCATGTAAACTGCCCTGAGTTGCTTGCAAGAGGAAAGAATATGGGGTATAAATGTAATAATAGTAATAAAAAGTTGAATGGAGTAGGATTGTGTCACTGATTGATTGCTAGGCATGATTCAGAGAAATGCCATTTGTGGGAAATGAGGCTTGAGTTTGTGACACCAGCCTACATACTGGGCTCCTGGAAACTTTCCGTAGGCACACAGATACTGTCCTCTCCAAGTTTCTTTTTCTGTTTAGTGTTGGAATTGGTTTGGAGTGCCAGTACAAGTTCAGCATTCACGAATTCCCAATATGTGTTTACCCTGTAGGTTTCAATGAGGAACACACAACTATTGGAATGAGGCTATTAAGCTCACTATGTCACCTCAGAGTGGGGACAAAATGCAGTATGTCTGCTATCCTAAAGCCACTCCTCTAAAGTCCCATGTGATGGACCTTCATTGTGATTATTGGTGGGTTATTGATCACTACAGGACAGCATTTTGATTGAGACAGACAGAAAGAATATTAAGGATACCTAAATTCAGGAATCACAGCCTCATCTTTTGCAATCCTAACAGAACAGCATTTATACAGAAATAGCTTCATCTAACTTCTATGCACAATATTACTTTAACAATAAAATGTCCCATACATACTGTCTACAAAATGTACAAAGAGAAAGAGAAAAAACAAAACAAAAGTAAAAAGTATAAGACCTGGACAAATAATGTCTATGCAAACAATTAAATAAGGCAAGTGATACAAACAAGAATCAGTGAAAAAGAAGTTCAGATGATTTTCATGGAAGAGTGGAAACTAGATTGCTTCAATGACAATTCTCTGATTGGTTTCCTTCACTGGTTGTTTCTTTCTTTTCCGCCGAATTTTCATTATACCTTTCTGTCCTTGCTTTTTTATGAAACCTGGAGGAAACAAGAAAGGGATACAATGTTCTCATCCAGTTATCACATTCTTCTCTGTTTCCCCTGGCCCCATGTCCCTCCTTCCCCTGTAGACTTCCTTTATTGAGTTCTAGATTGTAAACTCATTGAAGCAGGAACCAGTCCTCCTATTATTTTGTACAACACAATGCTATATATACATTGACAAAAAATAAGGAAATAAATAGAGGTTATGATCAACCTGTGTATATGCAAAGGCTACAGAGAGATGAGCGTTATTGTTCGCAGAAATGATCATATGAAAGGGACTCTGATCATGTCCAAACCACAGAAGTAAATACTTCTGAGCTATTCTGCATTAGTCAGACTTCACTGGGAGCACTGTGTCCAGTAATAGGTACCACACTTTAAGATGGGCATTGAGAAGTTGGACCATATGCAGCAAAGAACAACCAGGATGGTGAGGAGTCAGGAAACCAGATCCTGAAAGAGATGAATGTCTTCACCATGGAGAAGATTAAGGGAGATATGAGAGTGATGTCTGGATATCTAAAGACAGAGCAGACTTGTTTTCTGATCGTGGACACTGATCTATGTCAATGACTCCCGTATCAGAGACACCAGCATGATTGAGATACCATTGAACATACAAGAAGATTATAGTCCCTCTGAACTGTTAGACAAATGGCTGGCTTGCTACAAGCAAAATTCCACCAGGGTTGTGTATAGAGCCCTGCGTACTTCCCAGCTCTACACTGGGTAGCCACAAAAATGCAGTGCCAAAGTGAGCACGCTTAGGGTCATTAACAGTAACTCCCCCCTCCAGCTGAATAGAAAATATCAACTATTGTGGCTTGGCCTGTACCTTTCTTACACATCTTCATGCACGCTTTCCTAGTGGTGAAGTTATTTTCGTTCCCACCACATCCGGTATAGCTGAACGGATAACACTTTCTAGTGTTGTAATTATAGAAGAATCTTTTCTCACTGGCTCGGCAAAGGCCTTTGTCCATGGGCATCACACAGAGGGAAGGAAGCAAGGGTGACTCTAGAGATACGAAGAAAATATCATTAGATACAACTCAGTCTTTAATGCTGCTGTTTCGGGTTTGTTCTGCAAAAAACATGCACTGCAGTGCTCTCCTCAGCTCTTTCGGAGCATCAAAATATGTATTTTCAGACATGTCAAAATGATTGGGAAGCAGAAAGGAAATCCTGTGTATCCCTGCATCATACTACAGGACATCTGCTAGTGTACTGCTGGGCAAAGATATACAAATACAAGGTGAAATATAAGATTCATGCAATAAACTATCAAAAGAATTGAACTAAGATGACAAGAACTGCAAATAAATATATCACACTGAATTTGGTTTAAATACATAAATTCACTACTGGAATGCTAATCATCACGCTTATATAGAGTCAAGACATGCATTGTTCCGGCATGATACTGAAGATTCCAGACTTGTCAATAGTGCTGAAAGTTACCCATTATATAATGTACGATCCAGGGCCAGCCCAAGGCATTTTGCTACCTGAGGCAGAATGGCAGTTACCCCACCAATGTTAACAGACACTGAAAATGCAAAAACTTGCCTGATTCAACCCCCCTTTGGTTCTTGCCATGCCAGAACCAAAAGAAACAGGTATCTGCCACATGCTGCTATGTCCTATTCTTTGTTATACTTCCTTTGCTGAATTTAACAATGATGAGTACTTTTTGATGCAGCGTGATTTTAGCCATGTCATAAATAAGACACTGATTTCCATTATGTTTGCTATTCAGTAAACTGCACTGGAATATACACTCCGACTATACCACAAGCCCAAAGCAAGGACAAAAAAAAAAAAGGGAAGCCTAAGAACTGAGTAATTCGGAAATGCATGGAGAGCAGGTGAAAAGCAGGTCGCTCTGGTTCATGAAGACAGTCAAGCCCTACATAAGGTGGGCAACTTGTGGATCTTCAGATGTTTTGTCTTGGAGTCCCCATTGCGCCTTGCCGTTGGGTACGCTGGCTGGGGCTGATGTAAGCTGAAATACCTGGTTGGCTACAACCTGCTGATCCCTCTCCTAGATGAGTTGAATCCATGCTAGCCAATGAGTTGAACCCAACTTGCCAATCACTCTCCTAGATGAGCTGAATCCTCAACTTTCAGGACCCGCAAGCTCTGTTTTTTTAATTTTTATTTTCCTTTCCTTTGAATTAAGAGTTATTGTGGGCTCTCTGAATTACTGTCATATGTGTTCTCATGAAGCATCTGCAAAAACTTTGGGATTAAAAGCCAACTGGCAAACTAAGGCGGAAAACATGTAGCCTCCAGATTTTGTTGTCCCATCAGCCCTCAACATTGCCTATGATGTCTAGGACTGAAGGGGATTTTGGTACAGTGCAGGATCTATAAAGTACAACAACAACACACTTTTCAGTTCAGCGTCACCACAGTTCTCAAGCTTTTCAGTATAGTGCTGTTCCGTACCACACTTCTTGCCAATTCCTCCGGATAATGCTCTGAAGCACGGCAAACAGATCCAGCTAGCTTTTTTCAACATGTGTAAAATGAGACACTCTCCCAAATTCATTTTTTATTCCTATAGCAAAAGAACATTTTTCCTTCCTGCCTTTCCTCATGCCATTTGCCAGTGCCATTCACCCGCTCCACCACCTTGGCCTCTCCATTTCGGTGGGACCCATTTGGCCTTTCCGTTGAGGTTCCCCAATTTCTACCTCAAAGGTTATTCAAACCCATATCTATATCAGGTTGCAAGTTGTGCTTATTTTTTGTCATGTGAGAATTTCTGGGTATTTTTGAGCACATTTTCCCAAATGCATATTTCTAGTGCGCACATTTTTGAAATGTGCCATTTTTCCCATTGAGTAAAGCATTTGCCAGAATTATGAATATTTCTCTTGCACTTTTTAAATGAAGCCATAGTTTGAATGCACTTATTTGTTCTGTAAATCACACTGCAAGATCAGAAATGTATATTTGACAGAAAATCTCTTTAGGTCCGAGTTTAGTTTCAGGAGGTGCCAACTTTGGGTAGGGTTAATTGTTCACACTGGCTGTGTTCAGACAACATAACAACACACACTCAAGGACTATGGTATTCACCTACTCAAGAGAATGACTTGGGCTGCAAGCTTCTTCCAGTGAGGCCGAATGATAGCAGCTGTGGCATCCAGAAACTCAAGTTTTCAACTGATCATCAGAATTCTGGAGGCCAACTACAGCTATGCAAACAGTTTCATCTAGCCCACAGTTCTTGAAAATATGGGAACTTCAGGGGATTTTCCCAAAGTCTTTTCCAGAACTCATTGTGGCAAAATGGGACAGCTATCTTTTCTCTTTGATCATCACCATCAATGCTACTACCCCTCCTCCTCCTCCCCAGAACTAGAGAAAAACTCTAGGTTGAATACTTTCGCTAGGATCTACAGATAGATCTGTATCAAAATTGTTGGGAAAGTTACTTTGACTAGACTGTAGTGCTCTAATTACTGTTCCCTATTGTCATTTGACCTATGCTCTCTCCTGCATTTTACAAACTTAGCCACTTGTGTGTGAAATTCTGTGCCATCATATACCCATTTCTCTTGTGATTAAAGCTATCAACATTTTTCATTTCAACTCTCTGCTAATATTTTCTTTCCAATCCATTTCCTTGTAGTTTGTGTAGTACAACACTGAAAAACTTTCTAGGGCCATTCAATATTAACTAGTGTTAATCTTTCATATCTAAACCACTAAAACGTCCTTCAAATTACATCTGGTTATTTTATATTTCATTTATAATTATCTCAATGGCACTGGTTGCCCGCACAGAGTAGAAATGGGACTGCTGTATGGAAGCGACAAAGGGCCAGTCAAAACATCCATTTCCTATCGTGTATTCTAACAAACAAACAAATAAATAAATGTAGGTTGACTGTTGAAGTTTCTGTGTACAGCTAAAGCATTCAGATATTATGTACATGCATCTGACAAGTACCAGAGTTGTCAGAGTTTTACAGTTCCATTATTATTATAATTACATTAAATTGCTACCATGACTTTTCTCCTTTTGTGAGGGACCCAAAAGAGCTTGCATAGCTGCATTTTATCCTCACAACAACCCTATGAGGTAAGCTGGGCTCTTCTCTTCTCACTGTGGACACGAATGAGCATGTGATCATGCAAATGAATGATTTCATTTCATTTCATGGGCTTCATATGCATGCGGTCAGAGTCGGTGGGGCTCCCCACATGGGATGGGAGTGGTGCGCATATGTACTGCACGTGACTCTTTTTTGACTGGCTGTTTTAACATGCAGTTTAGGTCACAAGAGTATCGCAGAGGAAAAACACACATTGAGGCATCAAAGCACACATGGGCAAATCATTATCCATTTGCAAACAGTCATGCTAGAAATGAGATCCTTTTAAAAACAAAACAAAATAGAACAGAAAAAGGGATTGATCTGTCATACTGCTGTTCAATTATTTTCAAGACAGAATTTTTATTCCATATGTATTTATTTATGTAAAACATTGATAATACCACCCATTAGCTTGTCTTGATTTGTTATTTACAAGAATGCATACGGGGTCCCCCCGCTCCACATTACTGGGTTCTGAGTGCGGCATGAGTGCTTTCTAGACTGTGATGAGCTGAGCCATGATGCAGAAAACCATAAATATTTTCCAAGTATATGCATTCCTAACTTCATTAAGGAATCTTGCTGGACTGTTCCCACACACATTCCATGCTTTCTAGCCAGTCTGCACAATCCACAGACCATCTGCCAGTCCCCAGGAGCCCAGGTGGGTGCATGTGCAGATTGCCAGCAGAAAAACTTGGTGAAAGAGATCAGTCTTTTTCCAGCTGTTGCCTTCTCCCTCCCATACAACTGTGGATCACAAAAATGACAAGCCTCAATCTTCATATATTGAACAAGAACCTTGGAGAACCATTTGCAACACATCTTTAGATCACAGATTTCAGATTATAATTGAGTGTATTACTTAAGATCTAACATGAAAATGAATGTAGCTCAGTACACCCTTAATTCTTATTAAAACATTCATGTGCATTAATTTCATTAGCAGCAGGGATCCACTTAATCATCACACCAAAAGATAATTGCCTGGTTCATACTTAGCATTAAGACATGATCTGGTTTGGTGAAATCTATCTTGTTGTGCTTGAACCTATTCCCACAAACACACCGTGGTAGTTAACTAACTAAAAACCAAAAACAGAATCAGAATGGAACTGTACTGAGTTTACAGGATTGCTACACAGAAGGCTATTCTTGATTCCTGATGCATTCCTCAGTTCAACAACCTAATTTTAGGTGAAAGAGAAATATTTTATTGTTGCTGTCATTAAAAATTGGGAATCAGTCTCCTTGCCAATCTACTGCATATCACCCAGAGGCTGCCCACCCATGATGTCGAGGGGAGAACAGTATGAAAGACTATAAAACAACAATGGTAAAATGTATTGATTGCCCTTCAGAAATCAGACAGGGAGAAATGGTGAGGAGAAGGATGTCAGAAGTGTTCGTGATTCTTAATGTTGCTGCCTACCTTGCTTAACAACGGGGCTGCTATTGTTCTTTATGCTGAGGAGTACGCTGTCCTCCTTTGTTTGCAATGAATTGGCCGAAGTGACTGAATGGAAAAGAACAAGGATAAAAGAGGTCTTAAAATAGGCAGACAAATCAGTGAATTATGTACGGTGACTTTTACAAAAAAAATTATTTCCACCTTACATTCAGCAATATGCTACTTTTGCTATCAGGTTAATGAAGCTTCTGCAGTTTTATTATTATTAACTACATTCAAACCCCACCTTTCTTCATCTTGCAAGGAAATCCAAGGCAACTTAAATCATTCTTCTCCTACTGCTCCCAATCTTATCCTAATAAAAACAGCCCTGTGAGGGAGGCTGGGCTGAGAGTATGTGATCTGCGCAAAGTCACCCAGCTGGCTCCATGGCCAGGTGGGTGACTCAAACCCGGATCTCCTAGGTCCCCAGTCCAACTCTCGAACCAACATGTTACATTGGCTCTCAGTAAGGATTGTACGACCAGGTTTTCTCTTGGCCTTTCTCACAGACTAAGAAACATGCAGTAGTGATCACCTGTGCGTGCTGAAAGAATGGGAAGGGTGGATGGCCAGGGCTCTAGGTCAGCCTTCCCCAGTCTGGTGGCCTTCAGAGGCATTTGGACCTCAGTTCCCAGAATTCCCATTCAGGCCGTTGACTGGGAATTTCCAGATTTAAGATGTGCCGTTGCTGTTGCACTTTAGGGAGAAGGACTGTAGCCCAGCCGTCTCCTGAACATGTCGGCTTTTGCATGCATTTAGAATTCTATGAATGTGGGGAGTAGACCTGCACTTGAAATGTGAACTGGCACAGTCCACAGTCTTATGAATCAAAACTGCAGGAAGAAATCCTGATATGGAGAATTTCAGACCTACTGAGCAACAACAAGCTTTTCAGGCGCAGTGAGAAGGAACACCAGGGAACAGGAAGGGAAGGGTGTATTGATTCTATCACTTGCGCAGTGATAAGAGGAGTGTAAACTGTATTTTATAGGGGCAATTACTTCAGGGAAACATGGTATGGAAGAGCATACACTTGCTCCATTGGGGCTAATTTCCTTGGGGAATACTCCCATATTTTAAAAATTGATATTACTACTGGACTTCAAGGAATGTCAACAGTGGAGTAAAACTGAATGGTATTATAAAGTAGAACATGTACTTAAGAGTCCATGCGCACTTGGAGAAACCAAGCAAACATGTGTTTAGATTTAGTATATCAAGGGTCAGAGGCAGTTCGTGTATGATGCCCCTGGCTGTATAGGTGCAGTCTCTCTGCTAGCTGTTTTATGAAGCGGTGGCGGGAAGAGCGATCCTCCTGTGAGATGATGTACGTACATCTAAGGTTCAAGTCAAGCAAGGGCTAACAAACCTTTAAATTTTCCCTGTAAGGTGGACTGCTCCTCTTGGACCCAAATGGACACAATTAGAGGCCCCAATGTGGGCTTCAGCTGCCACTTTCAACAGCTGATACTGCATTGCATGCAAATCTTCACCCCACTGTAATTCTCTTTTCATCAATCTCTTATTTTATTTTATTTTATTTTATTTTATTTTATTTTATTTTATTTTATTTTATTTTATTTTATTTTATTTTATGAAGAGCAGGATGCTATACCAGATGCTTTGTGGCTAAGCTGATGAATTTGGAAGACTGAGTGTGCTGAAGAAGGCATTATGTTTCTTACACAGATACGCAGCTACAGATGCTATGCTCATGTTCTTTATGATGATGTTCTATTTAAAGTGTGCAGTCCAGACTGAATAGGCATGCTGGATGCCATGAAAGGGAAAGTCTGGATACAGCCCAAGCTTGTTGAAATCTTTTGCACGCATAGAAACACAGCCGCAGCCATGGATTGTCTTTAAAGATCTGCTTGTTTACTTCTTGTAGTTCTTGTAGTTTGCATATGACTTTAATACAAAACATGCAAGCTGATGTCCCTAATTCTCCCCTAACAGTAAAATGTATTACATACCTCGCTTCGCAACTGGAGCGCTGTTGTTTGTCTCGCCAAAGGGCAAGCTGTCATTCTCTGTTTGCCATGAATTGCCTGAAGGGACTGAAGAGAAGGAAACAACAATAAAAGAGGTTCTAAAATCTATGTGGTTGGCAGAGAAAACAGTGACATGGATTTAATATATTAATGATACTCTCGCACTGTACTATTAAAACATAATATGCTACTTCAGGTTTATCTGCATTTCAAATACTTTTTCCCACCTTACATTCAGTATACTACTTTGTTTCCATATTTTTCACATGGCATCTTCAGTAAGAATTTATTTACTTGACTTCCTTTTTCTTTGGCTCAGACTAAGGCAATTTCCTTGAAGGAGATTAGGGGGTGGCTACCTGGAGAAGCGCCTTCTCTGTGGTGGCACCCCAATACGGAATACGCTTCCCAGAGAGGTTTGCCTGAAGCTGAAACTTGATTCCTTTTGGCACCAGGCCAAAAACTTTTTATTTTCCCATTATTTTAAGGTTTGAGTGTGCTTTTAATGTGGGGTTTTATTGTATAGAAAATCAACTTGGATGCTGTGCTCTAGTCTGTTTTATTGTAAGACCATCCCGAGCTAGTAGTGGACGGTATGGAAAAGTTTTAAATAAACAAACAAATAAATCGATTTATTTAATTCATTCATGTACTGCCAAAGAGCTGAGGTTTGGTGTACTTGACTGAATTTCAGGGAGCAGAGTTGCCTTCTAGTTTTTTCCTGTCATGCTGGTTTTCCCATCTACTTGGAATTCTGTGAATTGGTGAGGTGTACAAGGGCATAACCCTATCCCCAACCCTAACCCACATCCCACCAAAGAGTAATAGGAACCACCCAGTCTTTGGGATGGGAGGAGAAAATGAAGCCAACACAATCATTTCCAATATGAGCTCTTTTTTGTGACCACCACTGAATGAAGTCTCAGGGATGGGGGACTTTTGACTCCACATTCCATCATCTTCAGCCAACATAGCCAATAGCCCAGGCGGTAATGTAAGTTGTAGTCCAACAACTTTTGGAAGGCCACAAATTTCCCACCCATGCCATACACCATTGGTGCCAAGAGATATAGATGCACAGTATACAGAAGACACTTACAGCTCCCCTGGCAGGTATCCTGGCATTCTTTCAGTGACAGGAAGTTGTTTCGGTTTCCTAGGCAACCACTATAGAAGAAATTTTCACACATCTGGGTCTCTTTGTTGTAGAAATATCTGGAGAACAAAGCTCGGCAGATTCCAGGCTGACTTTCCAGAAGGCAGTAAGAAGGCCTTTCAATGCCTGAGGGAAAAAAATGTTCAGTTTTCTGCTACTGGTATCTATTCATTGCCTGATGAAATCACCCTTTTTGACAAAAGCAGGCATCATCCAACTGAAGTGATGTACCTCTCAGTCTCGTGGATTTCAGTGGAAAACATGAGCAACTGTTTAATGCTGTAATACGGAAGACGATCATGTAGCTAGAACACATGATGCAATTCAAATGAAGATGAGTTTAGTCACTGCTGGCACGGGCTTAGCTTTGCAATATGGAATATGTGGGAGAGGCAACTTCTTGGAAGGTAATAAGCTCTGATGAGTGAATAGTGCTTGTTTTGGTGTGTCACAGGGTCAGGCAGGGCTACGTTAGCACTTCCCTCTGATTCCTTTAGCCACAGTTATATAGTCACCCACAACTGATAGCAAATCTTTGATGTTGCCATAACAATTCATGTTTCATTTCACATTCAATTTACTTGTACACAAAGGCAAGTAAGTAGAAAAATATAGCATGCTGTACCTCTTAACCTAACTTTCCAAACATTCATTGTGTTATAGCCCCACTGACATGAGTATAAAGGTCAGTTTTAAACTACCACAATTTTCCTGACCCTCCAATTAGTTCCATCCAGTATGAAAGTATTCTGGCTAAATGCTGGTTAAGATGCCTTTTCCCCATGATATCTAGTTAAGCCTGTGATATAACTCTCAAGCTTATTATATGGCCTGTGGGTGCTCTAACCCAGCAGTGCTGGCTGGCGTCAGGTGTCTGAGGGCCAGTGGTTAGGATACGCTCCATGGGCTTGTTCCCTTGTCATCAGCAATGGCATCCTTTTGCTCCTCATCACGGGCTTTACAGGTAGAGGGTGAGAAGCAGTTAGTGGCATCTCCTGCTCCTCCTTCTGACCACCACCCTGGTCTGGGCCAAAGCAGGAGAAAGGTGAACCAGCAGGTTGCCACAAGAAGTGAAGGAGCAACTCTCGTGTGGTTTAGTGTTAGGGTGGTGGGCTGGGACTTAGGAGATAAAGGTAAATTAGGACTGTGACTTTAAGCAATGGTTATTGTCCATGTGAACTGCTATCAACTGCCCAGTTTTCAGGTCTCTCTTACTGTGAAACTAGCAAAATGCACAGGGTGGATGATGAAGTGCAGCAGCTGAGTTTACGAGAATAACTCGTGTTATCATCATGGAAACCAAGGAACAGAAAATCAAGCATCCACGGAAAACACACCTGTGGAAAATTAACCCACAGGTCATGGAATCAAGGGTAGCCTGTGAATGAGTTGAGCAGATTCTTACTCAAGACATAAATTGCCGCTGTAAACGTTCCTTTGCACTGTTTATTAGTAAGTTACTTTATTCAATTGTAAAAAGTAAAGGCTATTGGCAAGCTAATATATAAGTGCATCTTTTCTTTAGCTCTAGGCAAACAAAACCATTCTGTGTTATGGACAATTTTTTCAGTCCTTGTGAGAAGTTGAAGATTACTGTGCCTAACAAACTAGAGCAGGTAAAGCTATGGCTCACTTAGTGATTAATAAAGGTATTGTGATTAACACAAACTAATAGACTACAAGATGTAATTGGTAGACATGGCATTACACTGTTGAACTTAGAACCCAAAGTACAGCTGCGTAATTAGCTAATGCATATTAATGGTGCCTCCTACTATGACTCAGAGGGTCATTAGCACGAACATGGGACGTATGAGCAGGTGGGGGTAACATACCAAGGAGTAGTATGATGAAGGCGGACGGGAAGAGTGTGAATTCCGAGTATCCCAGCCAATGGGAGAAAGGAGGCAGGGACTTTGCGCATGAGTAGGGAATAAGAGGCTGTGTAAACTGCCCCTCCAGTGCACTACCTTTGGGGTGAGTGCCCAGTCTGGCCAGAACGTATTAAACTATTGCTGCTTGGTACTTTGCCTCCCGTATCGTCATTGCTTGGATTCCATTCCTTACAGTCCTGTTTATTTTCATGGTCCAGATTCAAATATTTCTACGTTAGCGTAAGAGTCTGGGCTCCTGACAATGGAAGAAACCCTCCTGCTGGACTATCTGGGAAATAGCTACTGAGACAACCTGTTTCCTCGACCTGTAGATAAGAGTCTGACCGGTGTTCCCTTCCAGGTCTCTCTAGTGGGACTGACTTGATTTGACGGTGCTTCATGGTCCCTCCCACAGCCAATGAGCCCAGACTGGGAAAGGTCAACATTAACTCAATGATTTTGGTGGCTTGGGGGATGTCTTTCAGTTACATAACTACTGGATAATATGTGGACATGGGTTAATGGTGACACACGGTTCCTCAGAACTTGCATTTGGGCCTATCACTTCTTCTACAGAACATCTCAAAAATGCTTTTGGCTGCACACTCAGGGAATGGAGGCGCAACTGTGAATGTCCCTCAGGTACCACTTGGCTCAATATGTCACTTTTTCCAACTCTGTTTCCTGCACCAAAGTGGCAAAAGACATCTGAACAAGCTTGCAAGTGTGATCATGATCAAACAGAACTAACCTTACAAGAAAACCGTTTATAGTCTTACCTTAACCTTTTCCTACGCAACAATCCGAGACACAAATTTTGAACAAAGAAAGATGCACATATTTGGTACCACAGAGCATGTGATTTTTTCACTGTCCAAGTGGGTGACAAATGGTGCAAAAATATTTTATATTCATGTGTGTGTATTCTCAACTAAAACATTCAACTTATGAGAGTCTACTAATACATTTTAAAGTCTGCATTTTCACTTATTGCATCATTTCTATCTCTAATTTTAGATTATCTCCTAAAGTGCTGTGAGCCGCCCCGAGGCTTTGGAGAATGGGGCGGCATAGAAATGTTTTAATAAATAAATAAAATAAATAAATATTTTTAGATACTCTTCCTTCCTCCTGAAGAAATGAAAGGGGAAAATCATGTCAGTATACTCGGTTACGTTCCATTGTTACGGATTATTATGGGTTATTACATGCATTTATTGGGTGTTCTGTTTGTAAGCTGTCCAGAGATGTGTCACACTTGGATGGGATAAAAATACCCAAATGAGTAAATTTTTTTAAAATTGTCCAGGAAACATTTGGATGAGCTTTTTACAGTAAGAGAGCTTGACCAGATGTTATAACACAGAAGTGACAAAGCACCATGAAATATAATAGCAGGCACATTACCTGTCTTAAATTTTGTTCTCTTTCTCGTCTCAGGAAAATCTGCAATGGAAACCAAAGTATTTGCAAATGTGAAATCATGACTCATAAAGAAATGACTACCTTTAGTTTCAAACCCACAGTGTCTGCATTTTAAAGGATTCCACGCTGAAGCAAAAACATGCAGAAATGCTCTTACCGAACATGCAGGCATCTCTTCCCAGTCTTGTGTTAACTGTGCTGCACAAAATCCTTGCGCAAGAACTGTCTGCTGCCACGCATGGAAGTAGGAGTCGGACTGCACCCATGAGCCGTGCCCCTCCAGCACGCCCACTGACCAAGCCTCCAGCTGCTGTACAAGGGGGCCCAGCATCCATCTGTAATGGGAGGCTTCTCCTGCCCATACCTTTCCCATTTTCTGGAAACTGGGTGTGCTTATCTCCATTTCATATTCTTGTCAGATGTGTGGCTGACAAGGGAGATGGCCAGCTGGGCCACTGCTGGAGCACAGCTGGTGGAGGCGACCCTTCCCTTCCTCCCAACAGTCCTGGGGCAACATCAGTGGGTTATCTGGCTTGGACTGAACCAGTGGTATGACTGGCTGCTCTCTCCTGGCCACGATACTTGTGTGCAGATTTAAGACTCTCTGTCACACTTCAGTGGACTGTCCCAAGCGTCCCAGATCTGAACTGAATCAGCATGAGAAATGCCCTGGATCTTGCACAGGTGAATGCGCCTGCTCGGCATCTGCATGCAGAACAGAGGTGGGCATCGCACAAAGCTTTGCACAGCTTAGCCTTCCTAGCTCTGTTTATGCATAGGCCCAGGGGATGGGGGGAAGGTTACCTTACAGCAGGGATGTATAGACATCAGTCCTATCTGTGTTTCATCAGGCATTGTTCATTCTGATCACACTTTTCCATTTAATAAATGGATTATTTTCCATTTCATTTTCAGATGCATCAGAAAACTCTATGCAGCTTCTCGGTTGATTGCAAGGCTGGTACCACACTCAGAGGGTCTACACACTTTACGTGGCATTCAGGCTAACTGTGGCATGCTTAGGGAGATTAAGGCTGAGGGAGGGGTGTTAAACTTCCCCTCTGTGCTGTAACAGCATTCACCCCATTGCACCCCTTGCCTGGCATCTAATTTGTAAAAACAGTGTGATACTTCACATTGCTAATGCCATGTGTAGTCAGATCCTTAAAGCGTGGATAAGAGACACATGTGCTTAAACAGCCATATGCATTCTGTTGGGAACCCTGTCTTGATTTAGCTTCCTAGCACCACCAGTACATGAAGACATGCCTGTCATTCATGCTTTATTAGTACTAAGACAGAGGCCTTTGAAAGTGTGGAGCGGCTGAGCTACTGAGTTTGCTTCCTTTATGGCAAAAGGGTTTACTGCAACCTACACTTCTGGACTATCTTTGCCAGGAGCAAATTTGATGGTGCTTTTGTCTGTTGGAAACTTTGCAATAACCTAATCCCTACAGAGTCAATATTGTCTTTGTAAAAAAATTAACTCCTCCCTCTGGGCTTGGTTTTGTAATCGACAAACCTGTGATAAGAGCTGCCTTTTTACTTGCTTCATGACTCTTCTTGCTTAGACAGGAGCACACCCCAAGTATAAATAATTTGAAAGCAAAGCCAAGGGACCTGAAATAGGTCATTGTGAAAACTACCAAATAAGTATTTGTAGATATTGTGGGGTGCCACATTTATGACTGACTTTCTCTTTGTTACCTGCACTTTTGACCTGCCTCATGCCTATCATATACATCTATCGTATCAGTTAGATACACATAATACAGTGGATGGGAAAAAATATAGTGCCACCCATGGTAAAACAGATACGGATCTGTGCTTGCATGCTGGAAAATACTTTTCTCATGTTTTATGTTCATCTTTGTCTTTTATGCCAGAATACCTTGCTGGATAAGCCCTCCCTAATACAGATGATCAGAATGAATGTCCAAAGACATACATTAGTATCTGGACTAGATAATGGATTGGTTGAGAGCCAATTAAGCTCAAGTTCAATCCTCATAAAATGGAAGTACTGTAGGTAAGCAACCCCCCACATTCCAACTGGAAGGTTGTAAACCTGTACTGGATGGGGCTGTACTCTCCCTAAAGGACAAGGTTCTTAGTTTGGGGGTGCTGAATTCTCCTGAACCCTCCTACAAGTTTCCTTTGACTCTTTTCTGCAAAGAGGAGGGCCTTTTCTGTGGTGGCACCCCAAATGTGAAATCTACCGCTGGAGATTCGTCAGATGCCTACCTTGCTGAGTTTCAGGCACATGGCAAAAACTTTCCTTTCCTAGCACAGCTTTGGCACTATCTAAATTAATTATATCACTGCACAGTGTTTTAATTATATTAATGCAAGTTTTATTTTTATTTAATTATTTTGTGATTTTATTTTTTTAACTATGATATTTTAATTGTATTATTTTATTGGTGTTATTTGTTGGTTTTGTATTGTACTAGCCGCCCAGAGAGCATGTTGCTAACCAGCAGCTTTTATGCAAATATAATAAATAATAATAAGTAATAATAGTAGTAGCAGATATCAAGCCTGCTCACAAAATCACACAATTACAACAGCAAGTGGCCAACCTTTTGTGGATCATCTCCATTTCCAGTAAGAATCGAAGGGTTTGTCAGTTGCATTCTCACCAGGACTGCCAAATTTTTAAAGATCAGATTTGTCTCATTTCTGCACGAATTTGTGTTTTAATAGGTACTGAAATCTGTACTTTCTGGTGCATTTGTTCTAATGAGCACCTTAAATGTATGCTTTTTATGTGCATTTTAAATGTACCTGTTTTTATAAGTATATTACTGAAATGCTGTTTTAGCACACTTTTATAAATTATATGCATTTTCTACTCATCTTTTCATATTATACACATGTCATATGCACAATTTCCTCAAGATGGGCTGAATCAAGAAGCTCGAAAAAAATGTGGATTCCAGAATGCAATGCTGTCTCTGCTCACTGAATGGCTTGGGAGATGTTAATTGTATACATTCATTAAAATTTTGGAGTGGATTTCTCATGCTTACCTAATTTTCATATTCCTAATTAGAGAGTTGAATCAGCTTTTCATGGTGCAATCTTATACATGTCTCAACAGATGTAAGATTCCTAGTTTTCTATGGAGCTTACCCCCACTTACAAAGTAAGTGTACTTTGGAAAGCGGCCTTAATCATCTAATTAATTAAGAGAGTGTAGTGGTCAAAAGTGGGGGACTGGGACTCAGGCGATCTGGGTTCTAGCCCCTGCTCAGTCATGGATAAACTGGGTGACTTTGGGCTGGTCAGACTCTCAGCCTAGCCTACCTCACAGGATTGTTGTTGTGAGGATGACTGAGAGCAGGATGAGGAGAATGAGGTAAGATACTTTAAAAAGGAAAAAAGGCAGGATATAAATCTAATAAATAAATCTAATTTCACATGGGGCTCAGTCAAATTTCTCCCAAGCATGAGTATTTTCATTTGGGTAATTATCATTATTCTTCTAGAGTTCATAGTTGGTCAGTTTTAAATCTTAAGCACACATATGAAATACCAACAACTGTGGTATAAGTGGGCATGCTAAGACTAGTGCAAGAAAAGGAGTGACTGAGATGTGATAAAGGAATGCAGTGTGTCAGCTGAAATCTGATTCCAGAGTGCAGCTGGATATATTGTTCCAAAACACGAACCTAACCTATACATTATGAATTCCTGGCTGATTGTCAAAGGCTTGTCTAAACATGACCTTGTCTTCTTACCAGGGTTTCCACTGTAATGTGTGCCTTTTTTGCACTGTTGTAACTCTGATTATCCCATTAATGCTCGCAAGTACCAATGCTGTTGTTGTTAGTCACGAAGTCGTGTCTGACCCATTGCCACCCCATGGACAACACTTCTCCAGGCCTTCCTGTCCTCCACCATCCCCGGGAGTCCACTTAAACTCACACCAACTGCTTCAGTGACTCCGTCTAGCCACCTCATCCTCTGCCGTCCCCTTCTTCTTTTGCCATCTATTGTTCCCAGCATTAGGCTCTTCTCCAGGGAGTCCTTCCTTCTCATTAGGTGGCCAAAGTATTTGAGTTTCATCTTCAGTCTCTGGCCTTCTAAAGAGCAGTCAGGGTTGATCTCCTCTAGCACTGACCGGTTTGATCGCCTTGCAGTCCAAGGGACTCGCAGGAGTCTCCTCCAGCACCACAATTCAAAGCCCTCAATTCTTCGGCACTCAGCCTTCCTTATGGTCCAACTTTCACAGCCATACATTGCAACTGGGAAAACCATAGCCTTGACTATACGCACTTTTGTCGGCAGGATGATGTCTCTGCTTTTTAGTATGCTGTCTAGATTTGCCATAGCTTTCCTCCCAAGGAGCAAGCGTCTTTTAATTTCTTGGCTGCAGTCACCGTCTGTAGTGATCTTGGAGCCCAGGAAAATAAAATCTGTCACTTCCTCCATTTCTTCCCCATCTATTTGCCAGGAAGTGAGAGGACCAGATGCCATGATCTTAGTTTTCTTCATGTTGAGTTTCAAGCCAACTTTTGTGCTCTCCTCCTTCACCCTCATCAAGAGGCTCTTTAGTTCCTCTTCACTTTCTGCCATGAGAGTGGTATCATCTGCATATCTGAGGTTGTTGATATTTCTCCCAGCAATCTTAATTCCAACTGGTGATTCATCTAGCCCCACCTTTCTCATGATGTGCTCTGCATATAAGTTAAATAGGCAGGGCGACAGTATAGTCTTGCCGAACTCCTTTCTCAGTTTTGAACCAATCAGTAGTTCTGTGTCCAGTTCTCACTGTTGCTTCTTGACCCGCATATATGTTTCTCAAGAGACAAATAAGATGGTCTGGTACTCCCATCTCTTTAAGAACTTGCCACAATGTGTTGTGATCCACACAATCAAAGGCTTTAGCATAGTCAATGAAGCAGAAGGAGATCTTTTTCTGGAACTCCCTAGCTTTCTCCATGATCCAGCGTATGTTGGCAATTTGATCTCTAGTTCCTCTCGCTCTTCAAAATCCTGCCTGTACTTCTGGTAATTCTCAGTCCACATACTGCTGGAGCCTAGCTTGTAGGATTTTGAGCATAACTTGGCTAGCATGTGAAATGAGTGCAATGGTGTGGTAGTTTGAACATTCTTTGGCATTGCCCTTCTTTGGGATCGAAATGTAAACTGACCTTTTCCAATTCTGTGGCCACTGCTGAGTTTTCCAAATTTGCTGGCATATTGAGTGTAGCACTTTTACTGCATCGTCTTTTAAGATTTTGAATAGAACTAGCTTTGTTGTTGCTCAGACTTCCCAAGGTCCATTTGACTTCACATTCCAGGATGTCAGGCTCGAGGTCAGTGACCACCCCATCATGGTTATCAGGGATGTTAAGCTCTTTCTTGTATAGTTCCTCTGTGTAATCTTGCCACCTCTTCTTAAGCTCTTCTGCCTGCTAGGTCCCTGCCATTTTGGTCCTTTATCATGCCCATCTTTGCATGTAATATTTCCTTCATATCTCCAATTTTCTTGAAGAGATCTCTGATCCTCCCTATTCTATTGTTTTCCTCTACGCACTGTTCATTTAAGAAGGCCTTCCTATCTCTTCTAGCTGTTCTCTGAAATTCTGCATTCAACTGGGTGTATCTTTCTCTTTCCCCCTTGCCTTTCGTTTCCCTTCTTTCCTCAGCTATTTAGTAGTAATAGTGAAGAGTTAATCCCAGATTAGGGAAAGGGCATGGATATAATCTGAATATAATCCAGAATCTTCTGGATTCTTCACTTCCAGAAGAATATATTCCAATGGAAGCAGTATACTTTACTGGAAAGTCACAGCACAAAGTCTTTGATGAAACCAAGGGAGCCAAGGTTCCATTTGGATGCCAGGAAGCACTTCCTGACAGTCAGGACCCCGAGGGTGTGGAATGGGCTTCCACGAGAGGTCGTTGAGGCCCCATCGGTGAGGGTGTTCAGAGACAGGCTGGACGTGCACATGGTGGGCATGTCGTGAGTGGAGCCGGCTGGAGCCGGGGGTCAGACTAGATGGCCCAGGAGACCCCTTCTGACTCGCTCTGTTTCTATGTTTCTAAACATTAAGTGGAAATCATCCATCTGCCAATCAGCTATAGACAAAATTGTATTTATTCCTAAAATACCTGAAAGCTCAGAGGGTGTTTTACAAAAAAAGGTGCCATCCAATGCTTTCTTACCATAAAGTAAATCTCATTGGGTCATACTTTTTCATGAATATCCATTCCTTATCATTCATTAAGCAGAAAGCGCAACTCAGACCTCTCCAGATTTACTCTAGATCCAAGATCATGAATGCAATGATGGATACCTTTTTAAAAATATGTATTGGATTTTGTTTGAGTGTCATTTTTTCTTGACAGAAAATTGGGATGAAAATCAAACCCTTAACAAGGAAGAAATTCTGAAAGAAACATACTCACCTGGTACTATACATTTTTCCTGGCATTCTTCCAGAGTTTGAAAATTGTTTGCGTTGCCTTCACATCCACCATAGTTAAACATTTCACACTGGCGAGTTTGAATGTTGAAGTGATACCGGTTGTTTATTGCTTTGCATGGGCCACTGTCAGCTTTGAAGGCACAGATTGGCAGACCAAGTTTCAATGGGGGAAGAACATGAACTGTAAATGAAAACATGGCATACATTATCCTTGCAAAGAATTCTGAAAGCACTTTGCTGCAAGCTATTAGTTCTGTCTGTCTGTCTGTCTGTCTGTCTGTCTTGATTTTAGAGGGAAAGAATACTGCTCGGTTGCTCACCAAGGAAATCATTTAGCAGTCCAGGAAAGGTAAAGATGCTCCATCAGTCCATCAGTGGATGGAGGAAACTCTCCACTTGTCTTACTGCATGCCAACCATCCACTCTACACACCAGATGATGGATACCTATTGCGACCTATGAAAAGACCATTCACACCCAACTAGTAGACCTGCTTGCTACAGTTGCTCCTAGAGAGCACCGAAATCCACTAATAGACTTATGCCAGTGTCCCATGGGTGGATCTGCTTATGCTGGTGACACATCACTAACGTAATCAGTCTTCAGCAATAGCGTGACCTGGCATGACAAGTTTTCCTAGGAAAACTTCTTTCTGAGTGCTCCCTGCAGTTTTATTCTGAAAATTAATGTACATCTTTGCAAAAATTCAGGACTCCTACATTTCTAGTGTCTAGATAGATACACAGACCCTACACACAGTGCCACAGTTATACTTCAAAGGCTGCTTGTTGACAAACATTATCAATGCAAACCAGCTTGTCACAATGAGAGAAATGGGTTTCTTCTTTTTCATTCCCCCATCTGCTTGCTTTGACAACCTGCCACCCACCCACTCGCCCACCCACGCACTACGCAATGCTTTTCCTGTTAGACAAGCCGATTCTTCAAACTGTGATGACAATACTTCATTTACAAGAAACTGGCATTTCAATTGCTTTGACTCATTCCCTTTGGGAAATGTGTCTTGAAAGATAAAGCCAGCTTGGATGTACCTAGTAAATGTCAGGATTCATGTTATAGTGATAAAATAGTCCGATTCATAGGATCTTTTATTCCAGTATAAGTATCAGCTCAGTTCAGTGGGAATTCTTTGTCCTTTGCCCTATTTTACTTGCATCCAGCACTACTGAAACCCTTGCTGGATGCAGCCCCAAGGCCCCCTGCAGGAACAAGGGCTTGAAGTGAGTGCCGAGACAGGGTTGTGTGTGCTTGCCCAGCCCCTTCTGGTTCTTCCTGCCTCAGTTAAGACTTTATCATGTTGAACTGGAAAGGTCTGCAAAGAAGTACCAAAATCCATTTATATATTTGCAGTTCAGGATTACATACAGCTAGAAATGTGTGCTTTGAGACAAAATGTGTTTAGAAATGCCTATTTTGTGAGAGAATACATTCAGAAGCACACATTTAAATACAGATTCAGGTTTTTTTCTGCATAGAAAAATAAAAGTTAAAACTGAATAGACTTATTAAGTAAAGCATTTGTAAAACTGTCACAGTTCAGAAGCAAACTAATCAGAAGAGCTATGTGAAGACCATTTGTGAACTGGCCCAAAGTGGCTCTCTCTTTGGCACAAAGTACACCTGTTAAACTGAAACATTTTATTTCAATGTAATATAGATTGTGATAATGAAGAAGTCAGATCTCTAACCTATAAAATCTTCATTTTCCTCCTCATCCTGTGGAGCTGCAGTAACTTGAAATGCCACAAGGCTGAACAAAATACAACCTATGGCAGACACAAACGCATCCATTCTCATTCTGTCTTCTTTCCTGAGCAATCAGAAGAAAAGAAAATACAATGCATACATGTAAGATGGATTTACAAACACCATTTAGGTTTGACAGACCCAATTCCATTTTTCCTGGCTTTGTTTAATGGCCTCTAGAAAGTCATTGACATTCAATTTAGCGTAATGATCACACAGGGCTGTAATGAAGATAAAGACACAAAGACATCCCTGCCCTGCAGAAGTGTTATATAATAACTTGATCAATAGTATTGCTGTTCTGGCAGAATCTTCTTTCTGTTTGAATAATCTAGCAACAATAACATTAACGATGCAGTATACTCAGCCCAAATGCTAATGTACTTAATTAGCACAATTAGCAGAAATATAATGCTAATGCATCATATGCAACCGAAATGCTAATGGAAATCTAGGTATATCAATGACCTAGAAACTCATGTTTCCTCAGATGCCAAGGAAAGAAATAAAAGGAGGAATTTTTGTTGCTTGCTTTCTACCACCAAAGCAGAGAAGTGTCCCCATTCTTGTGTGAGTAAGCAGGAAGTCAATATGGCAAGGTTTATTTCTGCTTTACCTTTTCCATTTCTTTCCTTTTCATTTTTGCCTGAAGAAGTATAGAAAGATTGTGTTTCCTTCTCTTTCCTAATACGTCCTGTCTAGCTCATGGATCTAGCTCATGGATTATTTATCTTAACAGTGTATAAATATGATCTCCATTAGTTAACTTATGAGTCTATTCATGCTGATCAAATGGCATATCTAAGGGACTATGCGAGCAGGCTAAGGTCTTACCACGTGCAGCCAAAGGAATTGGGTGGAACTGATGAGCCATGTGAATTTTTGCACATTTGACTGGGGGTGGGTGAAGCCTTTTCTGATTTGGGGAGCAGGCAGCAGAGTTCAGGTGGGGGCTCTCTGGGACACCAAGGAGTTATCAGGGGAACTGTGGAGAAATCAGCAAAAATGGGCAGGAGGGTTTTTCACTGGACTGAAAGCCATGCCGAGAACAGCAGAGCCTGTGGCAAGTGGCTTGAGACAGGACTAAAGATGCCAAATTTGCAGTCACATCAGCAAACCAAACTACTTTTAAGTTTCAAAAGGCAACTTGCAGATTTCTCTCCAAAAAGCACTGAAAAGGACGAAGAGGCACTCACTCAAAAGGCACTCAAAATGATTGAAAAGGCACTGAAAATCAACTGAAAAAGCCCTGAAGCATTTTTTTCACTGTGCCTGCAGTTTGAACTTAGAAGCATCGTTTGACCTTTGGAAAGATCTTACCTAGATTTTAGCATTCAAACTCTGGAACATTAGAACTTAGAGACGTTCGAAGTTCGAGGCACCAGTAAAACAATCACATTTCAGAAGTGATTTGAAACAAAATGTTAAACAATTTAAACAAGTAAGACAAGATCACACAATTAGGCCTGTTAAAATTCTCTCCCATGTGCTCCTGAAATTATTTGCATATGCAACCTTTCTTGGCTGCCCTGCCAATCTGGATATGTAGCAAATCTATTCACGTGTACCACGTTCAAACTGATGCCTAGCTGACATATGCATGGCGGATTGGCTGCATAGCCTCCAGGTGGTACTGCGTCGTAGCGGAATGTCACTATTGTATAAGTAAGAAAGTACATTTTCTTTCACTTTCAACAATGCTACTTTTCCCCCTCTCAAACCACCACCATCACCACCACCTTGTCAGAATGCTCTTTAGACAAAGAAATGAAATTAGAGGATTATGATGTATCTAAAGAACCCATAAACAGCCATAAGTAGGAAATGATGAGTGTACAATAAATGCCCCATGTAGAAAAGAAAAGAAAAGAAAAGAAAAGAAAAGAAAAGAAAAGAAAAGAAAGAAAAGAAAAGAAAAGAAAAGAAAAGAAAAGAAAAGAAAAAAAAAGAAAAGAGAGCTTCTCTTACATGTCAGAAAAAAAATGGAATTCAGTGAATGCATTTTAACACAGTACATTTTAGCTTTTGACTTACAACAGAAAGGAGTATTCCAGATGCTTTGTGGTTTGGCTCCTGGAAGCTTAAGGATGTATCCTAAGGATGCAAACGCTCTGCTGCAGAATGAGTGAAATAAAAGAATGGCGATAACCTGTGGAAATATCCAATGCCTTCTTTATGGGCATAGGCGGACTGAGTCTGCTGGATTTCTGGAAATGTTAATGACCCACCGCACAATTACCTTGGAATCACTCCCTAAATAGATCCATGGAATTGAATTAGTGGAAGCCATACAATGGTTACACCTAAGCCATGTGATTAGCCATGTGCAGCATCGTCCGGCACCCACTTACCCCACTGAACAGATTTCCCTAGCCCATTGTCTTGTTGCTAAAATTATTTTGAGAAGGACATCAAGGATTTTTCTTGTATCCGTCTGCACCGTTTCCTGCATGAGGCTTGCACCAATAAAGAGCAAGCCCTGAGCAGGAATAATGCCAATCTAAAAGTGCTGCAAGAGCAGTTCCCCACCACCACCACCACCACCACACTTCGCTTGTTTATTTGTTCATGGGAAGGGGCCAACGCAATACAAACACTGCTGCGTTCCATTCTTTCCAGGTATTGTTGTCCGGCGCACGGCTTCTCCGGCTGCACAGTAAGCACTGCTATCAGCCAGCACAACTGGCCTAGAGGAGTCACCAGCTGATGTCATTCTGTGTCACAGCTGCCATCCCATCACAGATGCAGAGTGGAAATTAAAATTAGATGCTTGTTCAGAACATTGCCTGGAAATTGCACTCTTTCAATGCAAGGACTGGATTATTTCTGAAGGCTGAAGAGAAAACAGCATCTACTACCAGGAAGTGAAAACATACTGGCCGCCGTGTCCAGGTGGCCTGGGGCATCCATGTCTTTGTGAGGCATTCAGAGTTATTCAGTAAAGAGTTTCGCTTATCTTCAGCAGAGGAAAGTGACCTGCCATGGTCTCTTTCCTCCTCAAGCCTACCTCCCCCCACAGCTCCCCCTCCTGGCCTGGAGGCCAGGAAGGAGACGGCTTGGCATGGGGCAGGGCAGGAACACTCTTGTTAATGTCAGTGTGTAATCGGTGGTACTAAGGAAGTTACAGAAGGTGTAGGGAAGGTGAAGCTGGTTCCCAGGGGTCATGCTGCAGATCAGATCCTCCCTATGAAGCCACCAGGAGTCAGTGGCTCTTCCTGCTCCACATCCTTTCCCTAAAGGGAGAAAGCATGGAGCAGGGGAAGCCGGTTCAAGAACCTAATGACTTCAGGGGACATGGCCTTCCCCTTGGCTGAGGGCTCATTGCTGGTGGTGATAGGAGAGGTCACTTGTCCTCTGCCTCACTAGATCATGGTCACCAATCCTTGCACCTTACACTTTTAATTGGACCAGAAATGAATGGCACTCCTTGAATGGAGCCCAGTGCATGAAACATCTTAGACAGGAGTCTGCATTCTTCCACTCAGAAACAGCTCTGTGAATTTGACCAAACATCTTTGAAGATGGCTGGAATTGGAACAAATTGGCAGCATGGCCTGATGAATGTTGTATTCAATTAAAGCTAAAAACAAAAAGAGATGGGTATGATGTTTGCTTCCATTTATTTCTGATCATTTATACATATTTAGGGTAGAAATAACTTGTGATTTTGTTTTTGCATTTTCTAAAGGATGTGTGAGGAACTAAAACCTACATATCTGTCTGTATAGGCTCAAGGCTTTGAGTGCTGTACATAGAAATGAGTCATAGATATGCATCTTAAAAATGTATGTTTCAGCACTTTTGGTACCTCAAAAAGTCTGTATTAAAAGTACTGAAAAATAGCCAGTTTTTTATAATTGCATGGATATACAATGAATTACACTGACAGTGTTTGAAGCAGACTTCAATATAGGATTCAGTGTTCAATGTTTTAAAGAGCTTAACTTTACATTGCAACTGTAAGAATTTGCTTCTGGTCAAATAATACAGTTTCATTTGTTTACTACAAAATATAGGATTTCAGTTTCCAAGACCACACTACACCCCGAAATCTCAGATAGCAAAACCTGAAATACATGTATTTAGATAGCACAATGACAAGCGTTTGCAGCTCACTTACTCCCTATACCTCTGTTATGAGGCATGCTCACAATTTTGCTTGTACCAAACTAAAACCGTAGTCCTAAACACACTTACAGGGGAGTACATCCCACTAGCTTATATGTTTCTGCCAGCTTAGGCCCTAACTTATGGATATGGCATGAAGCATTAGCTGGAAGTTAGGCCAGATCTAAAGTTGCACTCCTCTTTGTCACATAATCAGTTGTGGTCTTGGACTGCACCAGGCTGTGAGGCCTTGCAGTTCCTATTGCAATACTAAAGTCTAAAGCATCCCTCTTCACTTTGGAAGCAGACTTCACAATTTTAAGGCCAACTAGGCTGGGCCAGTAGCCCAAGACCCCATCTTTGTAGCAGATCTGGAAGTGGGGACTACAGGGGAAAAAGACATTCAATTTGCCAGTGGTATCTAAAGGACCCGAGTAGAAATGATGCATCCATAGTTGGTGCAATTTTGAGATTTTGTACAACAGGCATAGAAGAGGTCCAACCTCAATTAAAAGTAGTCAGATGGCATGAAGGAACTGCAGCACTCACTCCTGTGAAAATTGCTCAGTATATTAGTTCCTTTAAAATGCATTAAGATGTTGAGAGAGAAGGGTGGAGTGGATGAGGAATGAGAAGAAATTTCTGGAAATGGGTTCCCATAATTACACATTTCCCACCCGCTGTACAAGTTGATACCAAAGCCTTATTTGTCTTTTTCCTCGCTTTCTCCATCTCAGATTCCTGAAGTATTGCATCACTTGGGAGGAAGATCAGAGAGGTAACGAAGCCAGAGATAAATCACTGGGCTTTCTTCTAATCCTATGTAAGATCCTGTCGATACTCAAACTGGCATTCACATAATTGCACAAGGCATGAGCTTGCAAATAATGGACTTCAACATACCCTAAGCCAGTCAAGACGTTTTGAAAAACGATGCAGAATGTCCAAAAAGTGCCC